GTCATGGCAACGCACAAATAGTCTGAAAAACTAATAAAGCGCCCACTTGCTGCCAGGAAGGCCGACTGGCTCCCAGCCGCCGGCTCCTGGCAACGCGGCTGCCGCCCGGCTCCGCCCCGCCCCGCCCTCCCCAGCCCTGGCCGCTGGCCTCGGCTCTGGCGTCCATAGCAACGGCAGGGGGTGGCCCCCAGGCTAGCCGCCCACCAGAACTTGCGCCCCAGAAACGACACATCTGCAGGCAAAAAGGACGAAGGCGGCTGAACCCAAGGGGCTGCGCTCCCTAAGCCCGGCCAACTGCAAAAGCCCCCGCTGCTCCCCCGGCTGCAGCCGCCCACCCCGGCCCCCCGCGGCTCCCCCTGCAGCCGCCCACCCCGGCCCCTAGCCCTCTGCAGAGTGGGCTGCCAGCGGAGCCCCCGCAGACAGCCGGGTCCAGAAGAAGCAAACCTCAGAAGCGGGCACCCCTCGTCTCAAGGCCCTGCAGCCGCAAAGCCCTGGGGCCCAAGAGGCCGCCCGGCTGGGGGGCGGAGCTCAGCCAGGAACGGGGAGCCTGGGGGGGCCTGTTAGCAAAGGAGAGTTTCGACAGGGGCCTCTGATGGCCTGGGGGCTCCGGGGGTCCAGCTGCTCTGCCCCCCACTGTCTCTGCCCCCCCCAGCCTAGCATCCACTGCCAGCATACAGGAAACAGGGTGCTGGCCCTGATCACAACGGCCGCTTTAAGGGGGCAGTGGCTGGCGGCCAGCAGCAGGGCGGCTGGAAACTCAGGATTTTTTTTTTTAAGATTTATTTATTCGTGCATACAGAACTGGGGTACAGGCCAGGGCGGCGAGTGGGGAGCAGAACAGGCAGATGGACGAAGTCCACTGCTGAGGGGAGCAGCGGGCGGTCAGGAGGGGTCTGCCGTGCCCTGGGGTCCCCTCCGGGGCGGGCGGGGATCCAACTCAGGCGGGCGCTGTGACCCGCTGCGGCCCCAGGGAGGGCCCCAGGATGTTTGTTTTCAGCCCAGAATGAGAGTGACACCCCAGCAGCAGCCAGCTGCAGCACCCCTGACCCCTTGCCCTGCAGGAGGGTAGGAGGCTGTGTGCAGGGGCGGGGGGCGAGCTGGGGGGCGGGGGGCGTTTCCAAGGGACACAGGAGGCTGCCCTGGGCCCCTCGGAGGCGCTGGTGCCCCCGGGTGCAGGTGAAGACCAGCGAAGAGCAGGCCCAGCCACCCACCTGCTCCCCCAGAGCCCTCAGCCCGCCCCCACGGGCTCATTGGATCCCCTAAGTTTTACTTGGTCTGTTTCCACGGCCCCCAGCTCGGGCGGGGTCCACACGCCTGGGGCGGCGGGGGGCACTCAAGGGGCGGTGCAGCCCAGGGGGCGCCGAGGCCCAGCAGCACCCCGGCCTCCAGCCTCACTCCGCGTCCTGGCGCTTCGACCACGACCACGGTGGCGCTGACCGTGCCGGCGCACGGCCTCGGGCCCCCCGCTGGGGTCCACCTTCAGGCGGGCCGGCTTCCCTCTGGCTGTCGCCCAGCAGAGGCCGTGGGCACCCGAGGGCTGCGACACCGGAGGCCCGGGCTGGGCGCTGGGGCCGGGCGGGCAGCGGGC